AATGGCAGAGATTAGGGATTAATAAAGTACGCATATTACCACAATCATATAAACAAATATATTTTATAGCAATATATTGGTGGGGGGGGGGGGGCATTTTGAGCATATTTGAATATTGGCGGGGATGTGTGTCCCCCATATTACGGCCTTGGACTACGTGACGATGTTTTTGCTGCTGTTGGTAACTGCCAATTTCGGCTACTGCCACCACCCGTATTAAGAGCCCTGTGAGCTGTGAATGAGATTGTTGGCGGACTGCAATCGGAGGGATGAAATCAAGAGGAGTGGAGGGGGCGCCGGTACGAGTGTAGGATCGAGGAGCGATGTTGGAAAGCTGAACTTGCGAAAGGGGCCGTCCATAAATGACGTCACGCACCTCGGGTGGGGGGGGAGTCAGACATTTGTGACGATGTGCGACGAGGGGGGGGGGGGGTTGAGAAATGTGACGTCACATCAAAATGCGATTTTTGCCTCCCCCCCCCCCCCCATCGTTACACGGCGTCACAAAAAGTCAGACCCCCCCTCAAAAATGACGTCACAAAGCTCTGCCCCCCCCCCCCCCAAAAATACTGTATGCTTCAAATCAAATGCGCGTTCACCAAAACTACCGCGTTTGTTTAATGCGGATACAATTCCTTGCAAAAGGTTTCTCTTTTGTGTTTGAACATCTTAACACCTCCTGCTTCATTGACAGAAAGGGTAAAACCTGTTCTTATTTTAAAATCCTTTATATTAAGTTCGCTTGCTTGCTCATGACCGTGCAAATCTTTCGGTCGTTTTTTAACCCACTTCCCGTGATCCAATCGAGCTGACATTTTGCACACAGACTCGTTGTGCGTGACAATTAATGTTCGTGAATTTTTTCCCCCAAAATTTTACACTTTTTAGGACAAAAATAAATTATATTTAATTACCAATTGCTTAATGGTGGCATGCAATCATCTGACCCATAGGTGGCAGCCATCTCAAGCCAGAGGACGAGAGGACTCTAGCCGCCACGCATATAAAGGATTTATAGTGAAAAACTTTGTTTTTACTGGTTATACTTGTTCACACTTTGATACTGGCAAAAGGTACCCCATGACACTGCATAGCTGCTATGTGGATTGTTATTGCATCGAAGGGCACTGTGAGGCATGGTGACGTCTTGGGGGGGCGGGAGGAGGTCTCCATCCAGCAGTGGATTGACCATGGCTGTTTTGTGATGATTGATGATGATGACGAAGCATGTACATGTCATCAGGGGGAATGCCTCCCTTGACAAATAGATTCGTTTCACTTTACGCTGCAAAAAAAGTTCAGGTTAACCCTAAATGGCCCTCGTATTTTAATGATTTAAGGCGATGTTAATGACGAATGTGGTGAACGGGGTTTGTTTTTTTTCGCAACTGTCATTGTCTCGGCCTCGCTATGCGCTGCGTTGCACCACTATCTGAGTAGTTAACCTCGCTTTCAATAAACTTTCAGAGCCAGGGTGAAGATCCGACTCCGACGTATTTAATGATTTGAACTAGGTAACACTGATGGAAAAACACAGCACAAAATACAGCATCTGTTAATACTTGCAATATCAATACAATAAATGAACACAAGGAGCATCATAACATTGTCTTAGATAACATGAAACTCAACAATAGGTCCTGGATGGACCGGGCACATACATTAGCACCGAATAGCTACACAAGAGAATAAGCTACTGTGTTAAATAAGGTCACATCGTGTAGTCACCATACTGCAGCCTAAATGTACAGCGCTGCACATAACACCGAACTGTAATTAAGATACTTCTTCATCCTTGCACTAAATATTGCATTAAAGTTATATGGGTACAAGTCTCACTCGACTCATTCAATTACAAGTAAAATTCACAATAATGCAAGTGGCAGGCTTCGTTGTTAACTAGGCCTCACGTTTATCATAACAATTTAACAGCATTATAAAGGCATTTACAGCATTATAACGGAAATCCTAACATTATAACAGCATTCCCAGTATTATAAGAACATAAGCGAACTTACAGACAATGCTTCTTAAAGCCCCACAATGAACATTTGCACCTGTCTTTACCGAGATGATATATGTGCCTCCATTTTGTACTCTGTGTAATGGCTGACACCCTGCCTCATGGCTTAGAGAATGTTACATCGTAACTTCCTGGTCACGTGACCAAACTCAACACCATATCAGGAAGTTCCTGTGTAATCAACACCCCCATACCTGCCATGGGGTAGAACAGTCATCGTATGCACAACCAGGGGCGGTTTCTTCATTAGGGCGATTGGGCGACGCACCACCAATGTCATTCAACCACAGAGTCACGCTAGCCGTCACTGTCAGCCTCTGGATATAGTCCAATCAGCGTCATGCTACGTTCTGTGGAGTACCGCCTCTTTTTGGGCGATTTCCCTCCAGCTGAGAATCGCCCCGAGTGGCCCCATAGACTTACATTCAAAGATGGTTTTTTTCGAACGGGGGCGCTGCAATGCATTCTCTATGGCTTCCGGGAGGGCTCGCCCTAACGTGCTTACGTCATCATACGTGCTTACGTCATCATACGTAAGCACGTTTCATCCAACAATATAATTTGTTGCTACCTAGTGGAATCTTTAATAAAATAAACTTGAGTGGTTTGTTTTAATAGTGAGTATAGAAACAAACAAGATGCATTGTAAGAGTCACTTTATTTTTCATTAATATTAAAGAAGTGAAGTTGCCTTTACATGCTTAAGCTGTTAATTTATCCATTGCATGGGTGGACCTTATCCTTATCAATCATCCAGACATTTGCCCCCCCCTGAGAGATTTTGCAGGAGCCGCCACTGTGCACAACGACAGTTTAGCCTACAACACTTCTTGTCAACAATAGGGGGGCTAAGCGTGGCTGTCGTGGTTTAAGAAGTTAAAGGTAAATTACAATAATATTCCAATAACCGCTCACTGAGATCCTGGGTTCGAATCCCCGTGGCTGCCTGCCTGCGATTAAACCGTGTCCTCCAGTTTAGCGAGGAGATGGCTTCTGCCAGGTCACCAATGACTCACAACAGAGACCTGTAGACTCTCGCAGAGCCTCACAGAGAGACCCGTCGACTCACATAAGAGCCCGTGGACTCGGAGACCCATATACTGGCACAGAGACCCAGAGAGTCGCACAGAGACCGGTTTACCTCGCATAGATTAAGTTGTTATTAAACCGGGTTCTCCAGCCTGCACACCAATGACTACACACATGCACATAATTTGAATAAAAATTCCTTCTGAGAATTAACAATCTACATATTGGTCTGACTGTCATGGAATGAACATGCAATGACTTGGATTCGATTTCCAGAGGCAGGGAACAGATTAACCCAACGGCATTTGCCCCTCCTCATTTTAAACCACAGAACGTTTAGCATTCACTGATCACCTCATGGGGTGACTCGGAAGAATCAAGTACGGTCTGTTCCCCTGCAACGCCGCATATTGTTTTAATGATGCCAATTGGTTATATAACACGACGATGAATGTATTAGGGAACACGTTTCTTTTTATAACGAGGATGCGAATTGGATATAATGTGATCGAGTAACGGCTGCCTCTGTATAGCGTCGCACAAGACACTGGGATGCTGCTAGATGCTTCTAGACCAGGGGTCGGCAACCAAAATAACAAGAAGAGCCATTTCTTTCCAATTCGGTACAAAATTCAGTATTTCAAGAGCCGCAATGCATCTGAGTACATACGTACTCATCGTCAAGAAGCAGCCCGTAAAGAGCCGCATGCGGCTCCGGAGCCGTAGGTTGCCGACCCCTGTTCTAGACGCTACCCATATGCACCCCAGTCTTTGTTCAGCCTGCGCACTCATCTCACGTGCTATCGCGGACAGTGCGTTAGCCTGTATTATATATTATTTATGATAACGCGATTGTTTCCTAACACGGTGTACTTCAGGAACGCAACTACTACCGCGTTATAGCAGAGGAGGCTGTACCATATTCAAGCGCAGTTTGTTCACCGGGTGAGAACTGAAGATCAGGATGTCTTACTTGTAATAGGGACCAGGGGTATTCGCCGGGCAGTAGTCCCAATTGACTGGCCCCATACTGGACATCTGTGAGGAAGAGCTTCATAGCTCATCGGATTCCTCCCCAAGTGTAAATAAAGCTTCTGATGCTGAGTTACTGTACTTTGCGGATATTTGTCAAAGTTGGAAAATTAGGACCCTAATGTCGGCACACGATGGCCTAAAGTGGCGAGATGTTAATTACCTCACCTGGTATACAGGAGGTCGTGGGTTCGATCCCGACCCTGGCACCTGTATATTTGGAGTTTGTGTGTCTCTCCCCCCGTGGTTTTGTGCATTTTCCTTCGGTTTCTCTGGGGTTTCCCTCCACATGTAGAAACACGCTTTCAGAGTAATTGGCTGCTATAAATTCCAACATGATAAGCCACTTCGTTGATATATAATTTGTGACCAGGTCACTTCTAAAAAACAGCTATATAGCTTGGTGGGCCTTACCTGGTAAAATAAAAAAAGTTAAGTTTTTTTAATAGTTTACTCTTGCGAATGACAATAAAATTCTCACGACATTTCCATTGCAATCGAAACGTCGTGAGAATGTATTGTTTTATCTTTATTATTTTATTATTTCCCTTCTACGTGACTTTACCGAAAGAACCAAGAATATGAATCCCTGCAGTCACGAAAGCTTTAAATAAAAAATTCCATGCCAGTGTCAAAAGACGTGAAAAAAATCTTGTTTCCTGACTTTTAGGCCAACTTTAATAAACTTGTAACAGCTGCTCAGCACAAGGCCCAGGACGCCAAACGGCCAGCAGCAGACAGCACCGTCAAAGCTGTAACAAATCAAGAGTGTGCAACAAAGTCTTGTACACCCCATCATGTGCCGTGGCGGCCTTCGCAGGTGCTGCTGCTCGCTACTAACGGCACTTGCCCCAACAGTCTGCTAAAGTCTATGTTGGGTTGGGTGGGGGGGTCTTTGTCTTTGTGCCTGGTGCAGCGATGTCTGGAAAGGGTAACAGCGGTACGGTGGTGCTCGCCTACAGCGGAGGGCTGGACACGTCCTGCATCCTGGTGTGGCTCAAAGAGCAAGGCTACGAGGTCATCGCCTTCCTGGTACGGAGGCATCGGCGTCGTCGTCGGCGGCGCTCGGCTGTCATCACTCGTCCATTATTGTCACCGTTGCCTCGTCTGCATCGTCGTCGTATTCGTCGTGATATTCACGGTTGTAATTGTCATCTTTTAGAGCTGATTTTTTGTGTTTTAGATTGTTGTCCTTCCCCTGCACCTGCGATTGTCACGGCTGTATGCCCGCGCGTGTGTGTGTGTGTACGTGGGGAGCAGAAGTGCCGGCCTTTATAGGTGCCCACTCACAGCACTTGCCCCAAAGATCCGTTAAGGCTATACAGGGGGGTAGGGAATCTTTGTCTCAGCTTCACTTGTTCTGTCTGCCCAGGCCAACATTGGGCAGGATGAGGACTTTGAAGCGGCCAAGAAGAAAGCGGAGAGCTTGGGCGCCAGCAAGGTGAGGATATCCCTGGTTCTATCCCTCGACGTGGCACCGTAACCCATGACCATAGTTGGGACTCTACGTCACAGTACAGCGCACACGGTACATTGTGCGGAAGCAAATGTAATGTTGCGGCTCCAAAATATTTTTGGCAAAAAAAATATCGGTTTGACCGTCAATCGACGAACGTGACTCTCACGTGTTGCAGAGCGGGTCGGAGAGTGCTGCCCGGTACTGTGTGCGGACCAGAGTGTCACCTTGAAGTGATCTCGGACGTAGCTCTTTTATATCTGCTTCAGTGGACCATTCTCCAACACCGTTCTCCCATTGACATGTTTCATTACTTCTACATACTATTAACATTCCCTCCCTCTGTTTCATGCTACCCCCTGCCCCCTCCCTTTGATGCTGCTAACCCTGCATAATGCATGGGCATAATATCACTTTGAAACCCCTCCGCCCACCTCCTACGCATTTGCCATGAATATGCTAAATTCCTCTTGATATGCACATTATTTTGTTAAGGCGCTCTTCTTCCACCTCCAACCCAGCTTATATATAAGCTCCAAGCTTGGCAGTGTCTCATTCTTCACCTGAGGACGGCTGCTTGCGTTGTAGCCGAAACGTCGTGAGAATTATTTTATTATGTTTTATTTTTATTATTTTATTACTTCCCTTCTACGTGACTTTACCGAAAGAACCAAGAAGATATATATTTGTAAAAAAAAACATTTTTCGAGGTAAGGCTCACTGGGCCTACGTAGCTCTTTTTCAGAAGCGACCTGACCACGAACAACAGCTCAACGAAGTGGCTTGTCACGTGCAAATGTATCGGAGCCAATTACTCTAAACGCGTGATGTCGATTCTAAATGTCGAGGGAAAAGCCGGAGGACCCGGAGAAAAATCCACGCAACGAGGGGGAGAGAGACATTCAAACTCCAAATATACAGCAGGTGTCAGGGTCCGAACCCAAAACCTCCTGTATACCAGGCGAGGTATTTAACATTTTGCCACCACAGCACCCATTGCCATGCAAGAGTTCCGAACGGATTTTGCCTGTAAACGACCGCTTGTGTTGCGATCGAAACGTCGTAGTGTTTTTTGTTATTTTCTCTGAACCTACCTACTTGTCTTTACCGAAAGACCCAAAGAATATGAATTCCTGCAGTCACGAAAGCTTTAAGTCAATATTTGGATTCTTCACCGCCTGACACTATGCAGCCTCCAGCGCAAATTGGTGATAAATTTGGGTGAAAGCGTACGACATCGTATCGTTCATCGTTATTTATTGCTATCGCCGGAACGTAAAACGCTCGCGATGCTCAACCACGCCGGCTCGCGGCCGTCGCGCGCCCCCGCAGGTGTTCGTGGAGGACGTGCGGGAGGAGTTTGTGCGCGAGTTCGTGTGGCCCGCGGTGTGCGCCAACGCCCGCTACGAGTCACGCTACCTGCTGGGCACGGCGCTGGCGAGGCCCTGCATCGCTCGGCGCCAGGTGCAGATCGCGCGCCGCGAGGGCGCCGCGTACGTCTCGCACGGGGCTACCGGCAAGGTGGGTCAGAGGCTGCGCCGCGCGCTGGCCGCACTGGCAGAGTGGGCGGGACTCCAGAGCCTGGTCATGGGAGAGGTTGGGTTAGACTCCAGAACTTGGTCATGGGAGAGGTTGGGTTGGACTCCAGAACCTGGTCATGGGAGAGGTTGGGTTGGACTCCAAAGTCTGTTCATGGGAGAGGTTGGGTTAGACTCCAGAGTCTGGACATGGGAGAGGTTGGGTTAGACTCCAAAACCTGGTCGTGGGAGAGGTTGGGTTAGACTCCAGAACCTGGTCATGGGAGATGTTGGGTTAGACTCCAGAGTCTGTTCATGGGAGAGGTTGGACTAGACTCCAGAACCTGGTCATGGGAGAGGTTGGGTTGGACTCCAGAGTCGGTTCATGGGAGAGGTTTGACTAGACTCCAGAACCTGGTCATGGGAGAGGTTGGGCTGGACTCCAGAGCCTGGTCATGGGAGAGGTTGGGTTAGACTCCAGAGTCTGTTCATGGGAGAGGTTGGGTTAGACTCCAGTACCTGGTCATGGGAGAGGTTGGATTAGACTCCAGAGCCTGGTCATGGGGGAGGTTGGGTTAGACTCCAGAACCTGGTCATGGGAGAGGTTGGGTTAGACTCCAGAACCTGGACATGGGAGAGGTTGGGTTAGACTCCAGAACCTGGTCGTGGGAGAGGTTGGGTTAGACTCCAGAACCTGGTCATGGGAGATGTTGGGTTAGACTCCAGAGTCTGTTCATGGGAGAGGTTGGACTAGACTCCAGAACCTGGTCATGGGAGAGGTTGGGTTGGACTCCAGAGTCTGTTCATGGGAGAGGTTTGACTAGACTCCAGAACCTGGTCATGGGAGAGGTTGGGTTGGACTCCAAAGTCTGTTCATGGGATAGGTTGGGTTGGACTCCAGAGCCTGGTCATGGGAGAGGTTGGGTTAGACTCCAGAGTCTGTTCATGGGAGATGTTGGGTTAGACTCCAGCACCTGGTCATGGGAGAGGTTGGATTAGACTCCAGAGCCTGGTCATGGGGGAGGTTGGGTTAGACTCCAGAAGCTGGTCATGGGAGAGGTTGGGTTAGACTCCAGAGTCTGTTCATGGGAGAGGTTGGGTTAGACTCCAGAACCTGGTCATGGGAGAAGTTGGGTTAGACTCCAGTGTCTGTTCATGGGAGAGGTTGGGTTAGACTCCAGAGCCTGGACATGGGAGATGTTGGGTTAGACTTCAGAACCTGGTCATGGGAGAGGTTGGGTCAAACTCCAGACTGTGGCGTATGAACAGATGAATTCATGGACGTGCGAAGAAACTGATTAAAATGCACTAATGCCGGGTACTTAAACCAGCTGAGAGACAATTGAAATCACACCTCTATAGCAAGGAAGAGCTGGTTACAAATGCTGCAAAAGGTTTAAAAAAACATATTCGTCAATTAATGATTGGGGGAATGAGTTCAAGGAACGAATAAGTGAATGTTTCGTTCACCTGTGTCTACGCTTGTAGGGAAACGATCAAGTCCGGTTCGAGCTCACCTGCTACGCACTCTACCCAGGGGTCAAGGTGAGATCGTGATCCCAGATTTCATAACCTCACAGCCTTGGGGTTGTGACCACAGAGCCCAGGGGTCGTGACCTACAGCCTAGGAGTTGTGACCCCACAGCCCAGGGGTCATGACCTACAGACCACGGGTCGTGACCTACAGCCGAGGAGTTGTGACCCCACATCCCAAGGCTCATGACCCCACAGCCCAGGGGTCGTGACCTCACAGCCTTGGGGTTGTGACCCCACAGGCCAGAGGTCATGACCTACAACATAGGAGTTGTGACCCCACAGCCAAGGGGTCATGACCCCACATCCCAAGGGTCGTGATCCCATGGCCCAGGGGTCGTAACCCACAGCCCAGGGGCCATGACCCCATAGATTAGGGGTTGTGAACCCATAGTCCAGGGGTCGTACGTGCATTTGTGCATGTGTGTGTGTGTGTAGATTTGTATTGTTTGATATCCGTTTATTGTTATTTTCCCTATTTCAATCCCATTTGTTTTTGTGCTCCTCCTTTCCGCAGATCATCGCGCCATGGCGTCTTCCCGAATTTTTCAACCGGTTCCAAGGCCGCAACGACCTCTTTGCGTACGCAAAGGTGGGAACTTGACCTGCGCGACCCTTTCCCCCTGGACGGTGGCTCGGCTGCACGCAGATCAGAAGCGCTGGGCTGGCAAACGCTGACCTCCTCATGCTTCGAATCTGAGTTTGTAAACCGAGCTCTCGGGTGCGGGGAGTTGGCGTTCTCAGCCCGCTCACCGATATGACTCTCGTAGAAACCCTTAGACTCCCATAGAGACCCGCACGCTCGTACAGAGACCCACACACTCACATCGAGACCCATAGGCTTCCCGAAACCAAAAATTACATCGAATTAGATTTGCACCTGTGCGTTGCGATTTGGCTAAATTCCAGCTCTCTTTTGGGAGTAAAAATTTTTTTGCTGCGTTGGGAATGGAACGTAGCAGCGTCGCCCACCACCACCATCGTCGTCGTCGTCGTCATCGTCGTTTGCCCACTTGCCGGAGTGTGAAGGTCTCATAGGAGACAACCCCAGGCCGCCCTGTTGCCCTGAGCGCGCGTCATCACGCCGAGCGCGCGTCATCACGCCGAGCGCGGTTTTGTTCACGTCAGCTGCCGACGGTGGCCGCGCGGTCCCCCCGTCAACTGCGGTCGGTCCTGGGGGTTGGCCACCGGCGTCGGCCCCAGTCCCGCGGTAGAACCGCCGCCGCCACCGCCGCCGTAGTCGATGATGGTGATCTCAGAAATAGTTCTGCGATATCCGCTTCTGCGGGCCACTGCCGGCGCCCTGCTGGAGATCCGTACGAATTCAGCGCCTCGTGACGTGACACCAGTGGCACATTTGGGAACAGAATGGGGGAAAGGGACCACAGAAGATGCAAAACAAAAATAAAAAGTTTTCTGATGAGACGATCTCTGGATCAACAAGTCGGGGTTTATGTGGCCGGACAGGAGGCCGAGTGGCTCGGAGCTCGGAGGGCTGGGCTGACATCAATGAAATTCTGAGTTTGGAATCCAAACTTTGGCCGCCCGTGATTTCAAATCTGGGTTCTCGCCTGTAGTCCTAGTAGTCGGTAGCAGTACGAAAAATAAATCCCATGAGCTTTCCCGTAGCGCCGTGGAAATTTCTACTCCCTGTAGTGTTGAGTTGTGGCCACGTGGGGTCACTGTGCACACACGCCGAGTGACATGGGAAACACGGCACCTTTAAACTAAACTGTAAATTGTGAGAAAAGTTTTTCCCCTTTTTTTCTGGCAACAAAACAGGTGTGAAGATGTTAAAACACCAAACTGAAACCTCTTACAAGGAATCATGTCTGCATTAACCACAATACTTGTGGTCAGAATAAAAAAACAACATACTCTGATAATATATGCATTGTCTTTGAAACCTGTAAAAAAAATTTTTTTTACTAGGGTAAGGGCCCACTGAGCTATACCGCTCTGTTTCAGAAGCGATCTGGCCACAAATAATAACCCAACGAAGTGGTCTATCATCATGACGTGGAAATTCATAGCAGCCAAATACTCTAAACGCTCGTCGATTCTAAACGCGGAGGGAAAAACCGGAGGACCCGGAGGAAAATTCACGCGACCTCCTGTAGACCAGGCGAGGTAATTAACATCTCCTAGCCACCGCGATGATGAGAGCGAGAGAGACACACAAACTCAAAATATACAGCAGGCATCAGGGTCGTGATCGTACCCACGACCTCCTGGATACCAGGCGAGGTAGTTAACATCTCCTAGCCAACGTGATGATGATGAGAGAGAGAGAGAGACACGCAAACTTCAAATATACAGCAGGCATCAGGGTCGGGATCTAACTCACGACCTCCTGTATACCAGGCGAAGCAGTTAACATCTCGCCACGGTGACACTCGCAATTGTACCCCGGCAGCACCTCGGCAGCCCGTATTCAATAGAACGGCAACAGATTGAATGAACGCGGCATCGTCGAGATGCAACTGCAGGTCGAGGCGCTATGGGGTGTTAATGGTGGCGTAGCGATGTGGCCGCCTCCTTCATAGGTGCTCGCTCACAGCACTTATCCCAACACTCTGTTTAAGTTCTAGATTTGAAGCTTTCGTGACTGCAAGGATTCATACTCGTTGGTTTTTTCGGTAAAGTCACGTAGGTAAGAAATAAAATAAAATAAATCACAAAAAACTGGTTTAAAACAGTCTGCATCAGCAGCAGGCCATGCTTTCCCACCTGGTGACGGACGCTTGCCCGAAACGTCGTGATTTATTTTATTTTTTATACCTACGTGACTTTACTGAAAGAGCCAAAGAGTATACTGCTCAAGGCTGTACGGTGTGGAGGGCGGAATGTTTGTACTGATGCGTAGATCCAAAGATTAACATCGACCCGTTAGGCTCACGATACATGCATGGAATCGCTTGTGAAGGTAGAGTTGATTTTTTAAAAATGTCCAAATTTATTATGGGGGGCGGGGGGGGAAGTGATTAGCGCACTGCCCTCGCAATCTGTCTGGCCACTTGAGTTTGATTCCTTGGTCACGGCTAAAATCAGCATGCAAGTCATATCTGAAGGGGTTCTGGCCCTCCTTCACAAAGTAGTCACTAACTGGCACGTTTTGTCTCCGTGACAAACCTTACTCATTCGCCGTGTGTCGGGTGGTCGCGGGTTAACGACGCACTTGTACTCACGCGAAGGGCCCCCAACTCGCGAAAACGTGGCACGACCCTCCGGAAACATAGTTTATTTGAGACTCGATGAAGCTGTCCTGGGTACACAAGAATAGTCGTAATGAAAACACGTCCGCCCGTTTTGCCACGCTACTGTCTTGTCGCAGGGTGGGAGAGTGCTATGGGGTAATCTCAGAAATATACTCTTAGTTTTTTCGGTAAAGCCCCCCCCCCCCCCCCGTTCCAATACGTTATCATGCGCACCAACAGGGACTTGCGCACAAACACGTCCACGTCTACGTGCAGCTAGTGCTCTCTTTTAGCCCTGCCCCCCCCTCCCGATACGTTCCATTCATTGGCTACCACATTCTGATAAGCCCCCCCCCCCTCTCCTCCCCCTTAATTTGTATTTAAGAACTTGCATCTTGGAATCCCTGCCTCACTTGATACAGCATATCTGGCTGTGACGGTCCCACCTGATGACGGAGACTTGTGTTGCCTCCGAAACGTCGTGATTTTTTATTTTTTATTAATTTTAATTTCATTTTTTTTTACCTACGTGACTTTACCGAATCTTTGCAGTCACGAAAGCTTCATATCTCAGAAATAGTTCTGCCATGTCCGCTTCTGCGGGCCACTGCCAGGGGCTCTGATGGAGATCCGTACGAATTCTCGTGACGTGACACCGGTTGCACATTTGAGAACGGAATGGGGGAAAGGGGACAACAGAAGATGCAAATAAAAAATAAAACGTTTTGAATCTGACGAGACGATCTCTGGATCAACAAGTCGGGGTTTATGTGGCCGGACAGGAGGCCGAGTGGCTCGGAGGGATGGGCTGACATCAATGAAATTCTGAGTTTGGAATCCAAATTTAGGCAGCTCATGATTTTAAATCTGGGTTCTCGCCTGTAGTCCTAATAGTCGGTAGCAGCACGAAAAATAAATCCCATGAGCTTGCCTGGCAGCCTCCGTGGAAATTTCTACTCCCTGTAGTGTTGAGCTGTGGCCACGTGGGGTCACTGTGCACACACGCTGAGTGACATGGGAAACAAGGCACGTTTTAACTAAACTAAACTGTAAACTCTTTTCATTATTCTTTGGTTCTTTCGGTAAAGTCACGTAGATATAAAAATAATAATTTGTATTTTATTTTAAAAAAGTTAATTTTCATTCTTTCTATTTTTTATTGGTATTTTTCTATCGACGTGACTTTACCGAAAGATTGAAAGAATATGATTTCCTGCAGTCACGAAAGTTTTCAGTCAAAATTTTAACTCTTTTTATGTTACCAAGGTGTAAGGCCCACTGAGCTAAACAGCTATTTTTCTGGCCGCAAATGAAAGCCCAACGAAGTGGCTTATTATCATCACGTGGAAATTCATAGCGGACAAATAATCTCAACGCACACGTCGATTCTAAACGTGGAGGGAAAAGCAGGAGGACCCGGAGGAAAATTCACGCGACCACGTGGACAACACGCAAACTCCAACTATACAACGGGCGTCAGGGTCGGGATCTAACCCACGACCTCCTGTATACCAGGCGAAGTAGTTAACATCTCCTAGCCACCGTGGCGCCCACGGTGACACAATTATACCTCGGCAGCATTTCGGCAGCCCGTGTATAATGCAACGGCAAGAGATTTAATTAACGCGGCAGCGTCGACAAGATGCAACTGCAGCTCGAGACGCCATCGGTGTTAGGGGGTGGTAAGGTGTTTCGATTTAAAGCTTTCGTGACTACAGGGATTCATCTTCTTGGTTCTTTCGGTAAAGTCACGTAGAAGGGAAATAATAAAATAATAAAAAATAATAAAATACAATCTCACGACGTTTCAGCCACAACGCAAGCAGCCGTCCTCAGGTGAAGAACAGGGCTGTTGGACGCTGTCTTTCCCACAGACCTGTTCTTCACCTGAAGACGGCTGCTTGCGTTGTGGCCGAAACGTCGTGAGAATTGTATTTTATTATGTTTTATTTTTATTATTTTATTATTTCCCTTCTACGTGACTTTACCGAAAGAACCAAGAAGGTGGTAGGGGTTGTGTACCGATACGACCACCTCCTTCACAGGTGCTCGCTCACAGCACTTGTCCCAACAATCTGTTTAAGGCTGTATGTTGGGGGGGGGCGGGTGAATCTTTGTCATTGTACCAATGTGTCGATCCATCGAATAACATCGATCCATTAGGCTCACGATACATGCATGGAATCGCTTGCGAAGAAAGAGTTGATTTAAAAAAAATAAAGTCCAAATAAAATGATGGGGGAGCGAGCGCAGTGGTGAGTGCAATGCTCTAGGAATCTGGCAACGTGAGTTCGATTCCTTGGCCACGGCTAAAATCAGCAGGCGAGTGGTATCTGCACAGGTTCTGGTCCTTCTTTACGAATCCTCGCCGACCAGAGTGGTGAAGTATGGTCATACCGCTGATCTCAGCACTGGATCTCTGCAGCGGTCATCCCCCCAAGTGTGTTCTCTATGTTGGCTGTTATTCTATTTCCCATCTCATCCATTGACCGTGATCCCATCTGTTCTCTAGGTTGACAAACTCATTCCTTTAGAACTGTTTTTCTGTGTTCAGTTCGTTGACCTTACCCCGCGCCTCCGATTAGCACGGTTGGGCTAAGTACGGTGCGAAAGAAGTTCGACACGCTTACGCACATCCCCTGTATAGCCACGATGTGTTTCTACCCCAAGCCTGCTTGGTTTCCTTGACACCCAACACGATTTGTATCACTCCCTCCTTCGACTGCCCTTCCGTCACCAGCTCGTCACGTGGGACATCGCGCCGCGTCAGTCGCGGGCCTTGTTTTGACCATACTTCGCCGTCCCGTGCTCGACCCCCCACGTGCGTGCCTCATCGCCGTTTGTCCGCCGCGATCTGTCCACTGCTGGACGAAGTCTGCCCAAAGCCGACGTGATTCGTCGCGGTCTTTTGACGACGACGCAAGGCATCTTTGCTCCCGCGGCGTTGAGCCGATTTCATTGCCCCATTGCCGCTATTGCTGTCCTATCTGGGCGTTATTTTCCTCCTTTTGGCTGCCATTCTGTCACCAGTCTCAAGTGAAATTTCGATTTAAAGCTTTCGTGACTGCAGGGATTCATCTTCTTGGTTCTTTCGGTAAAGTCACGTAGAAGGGAAATAATAAAATAGTAAAAAATAAAACATAATAAAATAAAATTCTCATGACGGCTGCTTGCGTTGTGGCCGAAACGTCGTGAGAATTTTATTTTTATGATGTTTTATTATTTTATTATTTCCCTTCTACGTGACTTTACCGAAAGAACCAAGAAGACAGTCTCGGGTGGCCGGATAAGCAGCTTGGCATGCAGAGTAGTCTGGTTGACAGATAGCTAAGCACACAGCCAGCCAGGCCAGCCAGGCAGGTAGCCAGGTAGCTCATAGGGGGCTGACTGGGCAGACAGACAAGAGAGAGACAGGCAACCATGTATGCAGGCAGGGTTACTGGTGGCTGGAAATGTAGACATACAGACAGCGAGGCAGGCAGGCAGGTAGGCATACAGACAAACAGGGCAGGCAAGCGTACAGGCAGTAAGAGATACAAACAAACGGACTGACACGTGCTGGATGGGTATTAGGACAGACAGGCAGGCGGCAGGCTTCCAGGCGGCTATATATGCAGACATGCAGACAGGCAGGCAGACATACACACGGGCAGCAAGAGAGACAAACAGAGGGACAGGCTCACAGGTGCTGGCTGGATATTCAGACAGGCAGGCAGGCAGGCACTCATACAATAAAGGTCACATAGGCACAAATTGGAGCGATCAGAAGCCCAGCGGGGTATGGATGGTGGGGGGCAGCAGGGGGCCATGCAGGGAGGGGCCCCCCCCCTGATACCGGCGATGTGTTGGGGGCTGGGGGGGAAGGGTGGAGGATGGGGGGGGGTGCTCAGCGGGGGGTCTCATCCCAAGCGATCGCTCTTGCATCTCGGTGGCTCTGCCGAGGAGCGCAACTTTTTCACGGCAATTTTTTCCGCCGCCTCGTTGAGGATGATTTTTTTTTTTTTTGGGGGTGATGGGTTTTGACGATTTTTTTTTTCTCTCGACCGATTTTCGAAAAAAAGCCCTCCCTCCCCTCCCCTCCCCTCCATCTCTCGCGCGCCGCATGGCCCCTTCCCCGCGCCCCCCCCCCGCACCGCATCCCATTGTCGATCGCATTCATCTGTCCCTCTCAGCAGCAGCCCGCCTCGCCGCCACACACGCACGCGTTTACACTCGACAATTCCTGTATTCCCGAATGTTCAAATATTGACAATTTATAATGCCTTGTAATGGTAAAGTGAAATTTCCAAACGCACCCCCCCCCCACTGCCATCAAGTATGTATATGTTTACCAGCGTGGGATTGTTACTGCCACGGCGTAACTGTCAGCGCACCGCAAACCTTACATCCCCGGTTGGATTCGGTCGCCCGGCGCGCGCCGGTTGAGACGATCGGGCGGGTTTCTTGCAGGCCGCGTGTGGTGGGGTGAAGCGTGGCTGGGGGGAAGAGTAGGCCAAAGAATACCGTCTGGAGGGGGCCGATCTCTCGAGCTCCCTCCGGCGGAGGCACCTTCCTGCCAGCAAGTGGCGTGAGCGAGCGATTGCAGGGCTGCGCCTTTACCTTCGCGCGCTTTCCATCAGCTTTACCATCACGCGCCACGGGGAGGAGGCAAGTTGCCAGCCTGCATTGACCGGCCTGGTGAAGTGTGGTACAAGTAAAACCCGTGACCCGCACAGTGTGGAGAGGCCCTCATCCAGCAGTGGATTGGCAACAACGTGGCTGTACGTGTACTCAGCTCTCGAGCCCTCCCAGGACATCATTCGAATTGATATCAGTCACTCGCTCAGAATCATCTATGTTTAAATAGCCTTTGACAGACTATTTGTGGCAAGTGCTGTTGGCGAGCGCCTACGAAGGCCACGAGGGGGGTGGGTGGCCAACCGCATGCTCTGGCCGCCTTTGTGTTCCCAGTGCTGATTGTTTACAGTCCGCACCAGGTACTCATGCAAGGCGGAGTCGGCTTAAAGAAGGCTCAGAACCGCTTCGTATATTCGCCCAATGGTTCACGACTGGTTTATTTTCGGTTGAGATGTGATGTTTTTTTTTGTCGTTTGACTAAAAAACCCTCCACCACCCGACAGGAGCCATCTCGAATCAAGGTCGCGAATCGTAACATTTGCCGCGGAGGCGAACGTCGACAATTTGCCACCCTCGCTGGCCGTGAACGGGAATCGAACTTCGGTCACCGGGTTTGCTGCGTGGCACACTCGCCGCCTCACTCAATATACTATATGTTATCACCCAATCCCGCTGTTAATCACGGGCCTGTGGTCGTATGGATACCGTTAGATAAATGCGCCACACCAGCTCTATTAGGTTTTTTTTTTTCTCCTCGCCGTAATGGGAGATTTTTCACGTTTCATGATTTCTGGGGTCGGGAACGGCGATCGATTTGTCTGCGTGCGATCGCTGTAATGAAATGATAGCGCGCTGGCTGGTACAGCAATTGGCTCGCGCGCAAAGCATCAAGCCAGGCCAGGCGTCCTGGCAATAACGCGACGCGTGGACGGGAGCCCAAAAGCCGCTGCGGCGAGGATGGACGGAGTTCGCGTGGCGGTTTATGATTCTTGGCGATCAAATATGCTCGGGTTGAAAATCACCTTCTTAAGTAGCCTTCATTAATAAGAATCTGATCGATTGTATTACTAAACGTCGTTCCAGGTTGCTCCCTTTTCGAATGGAGTGTATCTATTAAAAAATGTAAAATATTTTTTTACTTTTGATTTTGGATTTAATGGACTTGATGGAAGTTGCCATCAATGGAGGCAACATTGTTTCCTCTATTATAGAGGGTTTTTTTGGGTTAGATCGCGTGAATATATAAATGTGTCGTTAAAACCCGCCACCACCCGACACAGCCAACTAGTAAGGGTTGTCACGTAAACAGAACGTGGCCAATTCGTCACTACTACAGGGAGTGATACATCATATTGGGTGTAATTACAACTAGCTTCATCAGGCGACAGCCAGATTTGTCGCCTGATGCAGCTAGTTGTAATTACAGGCGAAACGTCGTACTCAGATTGTAAATGTTGTGGCTTGGCTCTCCAACACACAACCGGTGTGCTGTACTAGTGACGAATTGGCCACGTTCTGTTTACGTGACAACCCTCACTAGTTGGCTGTGTCGGGTGGTGGCGGGTTTAACGACACATTTATATATTGACGCGATCTAACCACAAAAACCTGTTATGGATGATAATGGTCGCAAAAGCCTCCGTGTTGTTTCCTCTGTCTCCACGAAGAGGTTTATTTTATCCCCTGGTTAAATAAAGGTTACGACTACGACTGCCATTGATTGATATTGATTGTTAATCTCACAGTGCATGCATCGAGTGCTATATAATAAACGTTGTCTTGATTCGTATATATCTTGTAGGTCATGGGTTCATGCTTGGCAATTATATTGGAGATATCTGTTATTTTGCACCAAATCAGTTGGACTATTGATATTTGATGGGGTTTGATTAAATTATTCGCTTACAATGCATAACTTATTTTTAGCAATGTGCCAATTTAATGGAAATGGAAATTCTAACATGGTATTGATATCAATCATGATCTTATCGATCTGGATACAATGATGATAATGATGATGATCATATGATGAAGTTGTTTGACAATATTGCTTCTGATTATGTCACTGAATGATTTGTTTTTTTGGCAAGAGACAAAAAAATGTTGTGACAAATTATGATGATGACGATGATGCTATTGATGGATTTATTGATGATGAAAAAATCCATTGGTCTGGAACAAATGATTTTCTGTTGTCGGTGATTTACTGGACATCTGCGGAAAAGAGCATTGCAGCTCATGGGATTCCTGAAGCGTAAATAAAATATTCAGATTCTGAGTTTTGACAGTGGCAAATTGAAGATGATGACAATGCTCTGATTGATGATGATGGTAGCAATGATGATGATGATGGTAACAACAACGATGATGATGGTAACAATGATGATGATGGTAACAACGATGATGATGATGGTAACAATGATGATGATGGTAACAATGATGATGATGATGATGGTAACAATGATGTTGATGATGGTAACAATGATGATGATGATGATGGTAACAATGATGATGATCTATTTTGCTGCCTGCAGGAAAATGGAATCCCTCTGCCGGTCACTCCTAAGAGCCCCTGGAGCATGGATGCGAACCTCATGCACATCAGGTCAGTGGCTCTCCTCTGCATCAGAGTCAACTCGTGATGCCATATACGCCCTCCCCTCCCCCAAACCCCACCTCGTCAAAGACATCTAGCCAGCGTGGAAGAGTAGGCCAACATAGCCTGTATATCGGGGCTCCCCAGAGCTCCCCCCGTTGGATGCCCCGTCTGCCAGCAGTGGCAGAGTTTGTACATTGCAGGGCTGCCCCATTACCTCCTCTCGCTATTCGAAGGACTCTCAAGAATCGGGGGGGGGGTCCCATTGCATTCCATTCTTTTTTTTTCAAAATCTCATTTGTGCCGTCTTTCTCATGCTGTACCGTGTGTCTTAAAACAGTCTGCCTCGGCAGCAGACCATGCTTTCCCAAATGATCACGGACGATTGTGTTGCGCCCGATACGTCGTGATGTTTTTTATTTTATACCTACGTGACTTTACCGAAAGAACCAAAGCTTCAAATCAAGATTGTGTGTCTTATTTTCTTCCGTAGCTGTCTCGGGCTAACTCGCGTGCAAAAAAAAACGGGTGATCCGATCTGAATGAAACTTTAGTGTGGCGTTGCGTTTCCGTTCGGGACTCGCCCGTGGAGAAAACCGGCCGCGATCGATCGAAGGCCTTGCCGCAAAATGTTTCGGCACGAGACCAGCAACGAAATGATTCGCAAAGCCCGACGCTGAAAGGAAAAGAGCACCAGCCCGCCAGCATGAAGTCATTAAACGCGACGCTATCCCCCGCGCGCAGCTTGAAGCGTAAAGTTAGGAACGGCGATTTGAACACTTCCGTGGACAAAGCGAATGTTGGAAATCTTCGCGGGGATCCGTGCACACTCGTGATTTGTCTCCCTCCGTTTCTGCCGTTCGCAGCTACGAGTCGGGAATCCTGGAGAATCCCAAGGCAAGTGATATGCAAATTCCTTTGTCAAGGCGCCCTTCCTCCTCTAACCCAGCTTAAATATGCGCTGCGAAGCTTGGTGGTGTTCATTCGGACGCTGTCTTTCCGACAGCCCTGTTCTTCACCTGAGGACGGCTGCTTGCGTTGTGGCCGAAACGTCGTGAGAATTGTATTTTATTACGTTTTATTTTATTACTTTATTATTTCCCTTCTATGTGACTTTACCGAAACAACCAAAAAGATGAATCCCTGCAGTCGCGAAAGCTTTAAATCGAAATTTAAGTGCGAGAGCGTTTTCAGGATACATACACAGCCGCACTTGGGTGACACTCAAACATCTAGTTTGTTATGTTCAAGTTAGGCCTCGGCAAGGTAAAGTAATTAACCCTTTTTACCGGGTAAAAGGGTAAAAGGGTAAATGTGTCGACATGCCAAGGGGTAAGGTAAAGGGTAGGGTAAGGTAGCGCAAAGTATTACCCAGTAAATACCTTGTTTACCGCTCGCTAAAAGCTCCGTGGCGCAGTCCGTGGCCTCCATTTTAAATTGGAATTATCGAGAGTATTCTATATGAATAAAGCGCTCTACCTAGCATTGACCTGTTATAACCCTTTTTCACGTGTAGTAGTACCCCAGTAATTACCCTGTAATCGGGTCATTTGTATGGAGTAAGGGTAAAAGGTAGGGTAGAGGTAGGCTCGTTGTTTTTACCTTTTACCTTACCTTGCCGAGGCCTAGTTCAAGTTCTTGCCTCCCAGTTTTATGCGTACGCTGTTAAACTGAAGCCACCGCCAATTGAAATGCCATCCTTGAATACTTACCGATTGCTCAACGGAGTTGAACAATGCCTTGCCCGCGATATAAACGGAGGCGCAGTTACTGTCGGCATAAACGCAGAGAAGAAGGGGATGAGGAGATTCCACAGTGAGTTGGAGAGTGAGTAGGTGAGTGAATAGGTGAGTGAATAGGTGAGTAGGTAGGTGAGTAGGTAGGCGAGTGAGTAGGTGGGTAGGTAGGCGAGTGAGTAGGTGAGTGAGCAGGTGAATAGGTAGGTGAGTAGGTAGGTGAGTGAGTAGGTGGGTACGTAGGTGAGTGAGTAGGTGAGTGAGTAGGTCAATTAGTGAGTTGGTTGTATGGTGCGACGCGCTGTGTCGGATGCAGAGAAGAAGGGGAGGAGGAGGGGATTATTTTGAGTGGGTGAGTAGATGTGTAGGTGAGCCTGTGTGTAGGTGAGTGAGTAGGGGAATGAGTGAGTTGGTGGGTGGCAGGGTGCCACTCGGCACATAGAGTCATCGGCGTAGAGACAAAAAGGAGGAGAAGGAGCTGGGTGAGCCCCCTTGTGACTATGAACATTGGACGGAGATTCTCAGCTGTTGACTTTCACACCAAAAGTAGCGAATCGAGAGGAGGGAGAGCACCTGACATTCCATGTCGACACTGAGTTGCACCAAAATCATGAAGCTGGGCTCCGTTCCATTAACATCAGCCGTTCGCCAGCATTGAGTCAAGCAAGCCTGACTCTGCTGATGAGACACTGCACGTTGAAACCAGTCCAGAGTTTGCTTGTTATTGAGTATTTTCTGCCGAGCTTACAGACATCCCAAGAAGGTTTGCCGTTGGGTGCCGATGCAATTTGACTTTGTAAATTCATTCTCACCGAGAAAGGTGGTTTATTTAATACTTTATATTTTAGAGAGAGAGAAAAACGAACCGTTGCCGTGCGGCCGCTATTACCGGATGTTTGCTGGGAGTGGAAGCCCTTTTGTGATCTGCTCCCAGTGTAACAATGGCCGTGTCCGTGGACCTTAGATTGGGGGCAGAGACACGGAGGGTCCCTCGCTCGCCCGAGGGGTGGTGAGACGCGCGATTGTCGGTGAGCGCTGTCGTCGTTGTGAGCGACAGCGGTGCTTACTGTTCATGTCAAGTGCTCGCAAAATTCAGCTGGGGTTATTGGTGTATTTGTCCTCATTGAAATCATTGTCACCGTCATCGCCACCGTCATTATCGCCGTCTTCAACATGGTAATTATCGTTATCGTCACCTTCGTCAGCATCTGATTTATCATTGTCATTATCACTGTCATCGTAAATATCATCATTATAATCATAATTATTGGCGTCATCATCATCATTGTCAATGTCATGATCATTATCCTTATCATAATCGTGATGGCAATCATCATGAGTGATGCATCGTGGCTGGCACAGGCCCACCAGGCATCATCATCCTAATCATCGTGATCATCATCACGGTCGTATCTACTGTAATCGTCGTCATCACTTGAAACAATCGCCATCGTCGCAACCGTGAGCAGTGGCAGCAGTAGTTGGCTCGCTGCGCTACGATCCCAGCGACCTCGGTGGAAGTGCGTTTATTAATAAGGGAGGCCCAGGACAATGGGCCACAAATACTGCGCTTTGAGCCCCGTGACCTGAGTTCGATTCTCAGTCGCGGCTAGCGATGTCCGAACTGGTCCTGGTGCATACAAAGCAACCAAATAATCTAAATAATCTCAATAATCTCAATGATCTCAATGATCTCAATGATCTCAATAATGTCAATGATCTCAATAATGTCAATGATCTCAATGATCTCAATAATGTCAATGATCTCAATAATGTCAATGATCTCAATAATGTCAATGATCTCAATAATGTCAATGATCTCAATGATCTAAATAATCTCAATAATCTCAATGATCTCAATAATCTCAATGATCTCAATGATCTCAATAATCTCAATAGTCTCAACGATCTCAATGATCTCAATGATCTCAATGATCTCAATGCGTATCGAGCTGTTTGTGGAACTCTCTCCCTCCTGGAGCCCGCTAGAGCAGTGGCCCCTTCTCCGCCAGCAGGGGCGCGAGCGAGCAATTGCAGCACTGCGCCTTTATCCGTTTTTTTTTTTTAGGAATCGAGACTTCACAAAGTGCCCGCCTGTAAACGTGGGAGGAGGGTGGGGGGGGGGCTCATTTCACTGTGGCCCGTCACCGGGTAATAAAAAAGGGACTTTCGCCGAGTTGACCCCGGGGCGATAGCGCGGCTCGCCATTTCATTAAAGCGAGGAATTGGGCTCCGAGACTCGATGGCGGTGAAGCGGGCGCGCGTCCGTGGGCACGCGCGCGCGGACCGACGATTAACAGGAAGATTCCTCCACGATCCTGGCTGTCGAGCGATGAGGCCGGCCGTTGTAATTACCGGCGAAACGTCACCGTCCGTACTCGAAGTGTAAATGTCGCGGGTTTACCCTCCAACACGCCGAACTGGTAACTAATTGGCAGGGTTTTGTTCACGTGACGAACTATTTTGCCGCATCGGGCGGCGTCGGGTTTAGCGACACGTTTACGGTGGCGCGGTCTAACCTGAAAAAAAACCTCTCGTGGGTAATGTTGGCCGCGAAAGCCTCCGTGGAATAACTGATTAAGCGTGCCCTATTCGTGTTCCTTCAGCGCGTGGGGAGGGCGGCAGTTTAGCGGTTTGTGCGCTGCTCTACGAAGCCAGTGGACCCGAGTTTGATCCCTGATCGCGGTCAACACTGGAGACGATTGTCGGCCACTCCTAGGTCGACTTGGCCTCAAATGAGTACCTGGTGACGTGAGAGTGAAATGCGTGGGATCTGGGAAGAATTGGGAGTGTGTGTGTGGCTGGCCTGGGATAGTTGTGCGTGTGTGTCTCTCTGGGTGGTCGACTTGGCCTCAAACGAGTACCTGGTGCCGTGTGTTAACATCGCCACCAGGGAGACAAAGGAGGCCGGGCGTGGTGCTGACCGCCGACTCCGTCGTGTGCCGTGCCGACCACCATCGGTGCTCGCTAACAGCACGAAAGACACTTGCCCCAACAGTCTGTTAAGGCTATACCGGAGGGGGGGGGATCTTTGTCTTTTGTTCTTTGCCCCCTGAAGAGACGCGGAGGGTACGGGGGGGACACGCGTGTGTTCCATCGGTCCATGTGCCCGTAGGGGGGGGGGGGTCCCTGTAGGGAGGCACGGGGGAGGGGGAGTGGAGGCAACCAGCAACGGCCACCGACGGCTACAATGCAGCAATGGGCATTAGGAAGTTGCTCAGCCGTTGGATGACCTCGTGCCATCGCACCGGAGGAGAGGGAACGGGCAGACCCGGGATTAGTTGGGGACGGCCACGCTGGTCGCTGTGAGTGTTGTGGGTGTTGTGGGTGTTGTGGGTGTTGTGGGTGCTGTGGGTGTTGTGGGTACTGTGAGTGTTGTGGGTGTTGTGGGTGTTGTGGGTGTCGTGGGTGTTTGGATGCCCTCAACATATTGAAGGGTTTTTTTTCCTTACAAGAAGGGTTAGGGGGTTACGGTTCTGATGGAAACCTTGAAATGCACAACAGCAGCGCGCGAACAGCAGCAGTTCGACTCTGCGCTGGCTCAGCTACCAGTGCAGTCGTTGCGTAGATTCGGTGCAGTTGTCCGATTGGCGATGCAACCGATGAACCAGCGCGAACCAGCGGTGGAAAACGTGCCCGCTATACCACGGCATGCCATAAGCGGCACTTCTCAGAACACCAAACACGTGTGGCGGCACTTGTCCAAACGGTTTTCGTCCCTACGCCGTACCTCGATGTTTCCATAAGGAAAGAAGCGGCAGGCACGCCTCTTGTTTGCGTTGCTTGTGTTGTCAATATTGTTCACTTTAGTTCCTGAAGCACCATCTGGGGCGCCGTGGTGGCTAGGAGATGTTAACTCCCTCGCCTGGTATGCAGGAGGTCGTGGATTCGATCCCGACTCTGGCGCCTGCTTCTGTATATTTGGAGTTTGCGTGTCTCTCTCTCTCATCATCATCACGGTGGCTAGGAGATGTTAACTCCCTCGCCTGGTATGCAGGAGGTCGTGGATTCGATCCCGACTCTGGCGCCTGCTTCTGTATGTATGGAGTTTACGTGTCTCTCTCTCTCATCATCATCACGGTGGCTAGGAGATGTTAACTTCCTCGCCTGGTATGCAGGAGGTCGTGGATTCGATCCCAACTCTGGCGCCTGCTGCTGTATATTTGGAGTTTGCGTGTCTCTCTCTCTCATCATCATCACGGTGGCTAGGAGATGTTAACTCCCTCGCCTGGTATGCAGGAGGTCGTGGTTTCGATCCCGACCCTGGCGCCTGCTTCTGTTTATTTGGAGTTTGCGTGCCGTGGTCACGTGGATTTTTCTCCAGGTCTTCTGGCTTTTCCCTCCAACATTTAGAAACGTGCGTTTCGAGCATTTAGCTGCTATACATTTCCGCGCGAAAAGCCACTCTGTTGAACTATCATTAGTGGCAAGGTTGCTTCTGAAAAAGAGCTTCATAGCTCAATGGACCTTACCTGCTGAAATAGAAAATAATATATTTTCTTGGTTCTTTTTTTTTTCAAATTTTCTTGCTGTGGATTTCACACCTGATGATGATTGCTTGTGTTGCAGTCGAAACGTCGTGATAATAGTTATTGTTTTATATTAATATTATTTTATTATTTCCCTTCTACATGACTTTACCGAAAGAACCAAGAATATGAATCCCTGCAGTCACGAAAGCTTTAAATAAAAAAAATTGAAAATAATAGTTTAGTTTAAGTTTATGTGTGCCTGCACCTCCGACACGTTCCATCCCGTTTGTTCCCCGTTCCCTTGTGCCCATCACTTTGATGTTGCTGTTCTCCGTCTGCGTGGATGCAAACAAGCTGGGCTAAATGGGACAGTCTGCATAACAAATACGCGTTGACTGATTAATTGAATAGGCATCATTACCGCCTCTTCCACATTGACATTTCCACCCACGAGGTGGGAAACATTTACCAGTCGGATTCTATCATCGCCGCACCTCCGCAGCAGCGGCGGCGGTTGCGGTGGCGGCGGCGGTGGCGGCGTTGGCGGTGGTGGTAGCGGCGGCGGTGGCAGTTGTGGTGGTGGGTGGCGGTGACGGTAGCTTGTCGAGGGCTTGGGAGGGGCGGTGTGGGGATGCGAGACATTTCGAGACCCCCAAAAAAAAAAAAACCCGGAGCGGGCGAGCGGGCGAACATCCGATCAAAGATCACCGATGTTTATCGCCGTGATGAATGGCCAATTTCCCCGGCGAGAAAGCGGAGCGGGCCCGCGTGGGCCCTCGGGCCTGGGAACGGGTGGGGGACCGGGTGGGGGGTGGGGGGGGTAGGGGGGGAAGTGCGTTCTGACGCTTGACGGTGGGGGGGCCGGGGGAGGGGGCCGAGTAAAGTGGCTTAACAAAGAGCCGGGGCTCTCTTGCTTGGGGCCATGCCGCCCCTGTCGCACAAACTCCTGTGTTCTTGAAAGACAGAAGTGTCCCATGTGAAGTGGCGGCCACAAAGATATCTTTTACCCCCCCCGCCACCCACCCATCACTAGCTCGCTCGCGCTTTCTCTCCCTCTCTCTCTCCGCCCTTGTTTTATCTGTAGTTTTTTTTTGCTGTTTGCGGGGGAGGTGACTGCCAGGGTCTTTAGCGATCTCTGTTCTTTTAATTAACCCGCTCTGGGAGGTGCTGGGCCGCTGGCATGTGTGTGTGTGTGGAACAAAAAGATGTTTGTGCGTGTGTGTAGTTATGTTGTGGGGGAGCGGTTGTGCAACGGTTAGCGCTACGCTGCCCTACGAACCCGGCGACACGATTTTGATTGACGCTCGCGGCCAACATCCGTGACGATTATCTGAACCGGTCCTGGGCCTTCCCTAGATCGACTCGGCCTCAAATGATTACTTGGTGCCACGTGTAAACATAGGCACTAGGGAGACAAAGGCGACCGGGCGTGGTGTTGGCCACCCACCCCCTCGTGTGCCTTACCGGCATTCATAGGTGCTGCTTCTCGCTAACAGCACTTACCCCAACAGTCTAATAAGGCTATACGGGGGATCTTTCTCTTTGCTTTTGTTTGTAGATGCGTCAGAAACAGTGTTGAATATTTGAACAGGTCCTGGGCTTCCCCTAGGTCGACCCAGTCTTAAATGAGTACTGTACTTGATTCGGCAAGTAAAACATCAGCGCTGGGGAGACAAAGGCAGCCCGGGCGTGGTGCTGGCCACCGATCTCCTCGTGTGCCGTTCCAGCCTTTCATAGGTGCTGCTTCTCGCTAACAGCACTTACCCCAACAGTCTGTTAAGGCTACACGGTGGGGGGGGGGTACTTTGTCTTTGTACACCCAAGTGGGTGGTGGGCATGAGTGCGTGTTCCAGTTTGTGGTGGGTGGTTGGGTTGTGGGGGGGGGGGGCATTGCGTGTGTGCCCATGTTGTTGGGAGGGGGGCACGTGTGTAGATGGCAGGTGGTAAGGACTCTCTTGAGAGGGAGTCTTGACATTCAGTAAGGCTTTCCCGAGGAAACTAGCAGAACAATAATGAATAATAATCTCTTCCCAATGCAGGTGGCTGCCCCTCCGGACATGTACCTGATGACTCAGGACCCCATCAAGGCTCCTGACTCACCGGACGTGTTGGAGATTGAGTTTAAGAAAGGTGAGTGAATTGGTGTCATCGTCGATTTAAAGCTTTCATGACTGCAGGGATTCATCTTCTTGGTTCTTTCGGTAAAGTCACGTAGAAGGGAAATAATAAAGTAATAAAAATAAAACATAATAAAATAATTCTCACGACGTTTCGGCCACAACGCAAGCAAGCCATCCTCAGGAGAAGACAGAGTCTGAAGCAGACTCTGTCTTCTCGACAGACCTGTTCTCCACCTGAGGATAGCTGCTTGCGTTGTGGCCGAAACGTCGTGAGAATTGTTTAATAATGTTTTATTTTTATTATTTTATTATTTCCATTCTACGTGACTTTACCGAAAGAACCAATAAGATGGTGTCATCGTCGTCATCGTCGTCGTCATCACGTGGGTGGGTGAGTCGGTGGCCGAGGGAATGGATGAATGCGCGAGTGCGCAAACACGTGAGTGGTGCATTGAGCGAGCGGGGTGAGGTGGTCGGATGGAATCGTCGATTGGTTGAGCTCTGGTTTCAAGTTGATATTGATTAACCAGGCGAGAACTCGAGATCAACCAGGATGTCTCATTTGCACGTGTGATCCGGTGTCGCACGAAAAGGACAACAGGAAAAAACGAATGAGAAATAAAAAATACAGAAATGAAGCATTAATACAAATGTGTCCTCATGTGTGACAAATCAAAAATATTACACAAACATAAATCATAGGGAAGTAATACATTTCCTGCAATGCAAGTCGGCTTGGGCATATGCTATTTCGGGTGATCATAGTACAATTACAATAAAGTTAAACGGATAATAACGTGACTGAATGTATTAATATGTAAACAGACAAGGACATGTCAATATAATTGTCATCGTCGTCGTTAAATTGATTTACAATAATTATTTACAGGTGTATCGATACACTGCTGGATGATGGCTTCCTTGTGTTGTGTCCATCATGGGGGTTGTTTGGCCATACTGGGTTAGTGAATTACTACTCTTAGTTCTTTCGGTAAAGTCACGTAGGTAAAAAAATGAAATTAAAATTAATAAAAATAAAACAATAAAAATCACGACGTTTCGGAGGCAACACAAGCTTCCGTCTTCAGTTGAAAACGGAAGCTTGTGTTGCCTCCGAAACGTCGTGATTTTTATTGTTTTTATTAATTTTAATTTCATTTTTTTACCTACGTGACTTTACCGAAAGAACTAAGAGTATGAATCATTGCAGTCACGGAAGCTTCAAATCTAGAATTAGTGAATTACTGTAATTGTCATCACCATCATCATTGTCGCAATCACCATCATCACTCAAGTCATTATTTGTTTCAACATATTCTCATCTGCATCATCATCACGACCATCGCAATCATCATCAGTGTCATCATCATTATTATCACTGCCATCATTATTGTCATTGTTATTTTCATCACCATCACCACCATAATCATCGGTGGCATCGTCAAAATCACGATAAACATCTCTCTATCGTCGTAACTGCCATCATCACCATCATCATCATCCATAACACCGTTATAATTGTCACGAACATCATCATCATCATAATAAGTGATGATCATCATCATCACTTATCTGCTCGCATAATTAGTCAAGCACACGAGTAACAATTGCGTTCCCATCTGTGTCAGGAAAGGCCTTGAACCAGGCCGTTCTAAGTACTGGTGACATTTGAAACGGCGTGAAAGGAACCATTTAGCAGAATTCCAGAATCCTCCCACAGTCTGTCCCTCCCCTCCCCACCCCCCTCTTCTTCCCCCCTGCCCCGGTGTTCAGGGATTAAGTTTCGCTGGTGGGCTATAATTTGTTTGTATGTCCACTCATTAACCCGTTCATTAAGAGGCTGTTCCACCAGCGTGCCAAGGTCCATCAATCGCGCGCCTGCTCGCTAGCGGCCCGTTAACCGCGGGGCTCATTCATGGTTTTAGTTTTCTTTTCTTTTAACGCGCGCGACAAAGCGAATGACCCGCTTTAAATTCATACGATGGGAAAAGTGAAATCCGTCTGCCGCCCCCCCCCCTACCCAACTGCTCTCCTTGCTGCCCAGCCCACATTCCTGAAGCGCTTGCTCACTCGCTCAATCGTTGACTTGCCCGTTAACTCACTCGCTCACTCACTCGCACACTCACTCGCTCGCTCTCTCACTCGTTGACTTACTCGCTCACTCACTCGCTCACTCACTCGTTCACTCACTCGTTCACTCACTCGTTCACTCACTCCCTCGTTGACTTGCCCGTTAACTCACTCGCACACTCACTCGTTCACTCACTTACTCACTCGCTCACTCACTCGCACACTCACTCGCTCGCTCTCTCACTCGTTGACTTACTCGCTCACTCACTCGCTCACTCACTCGTTCACTCACTCGTTCACTCACTCGTTCACTCACTCCCTCGTTGACTTGCCCGTTAACTCACTCGCACACTCACTCGTTCACTCACTTACTCACTCGCTCACTCACTCGCACACTCACTCGCTCGCTCTCTCACTCGTTGACTTACTCGCTCACTCACTCACTCGTTCACTCACTCGTTCACTCACTCTCTCACTCACTCACTCGTTAACTTGCCCGTTAACTCACTCGCTCACTCACTCGTTCACTCACTCGTTCACTTACTCGCTCACTCACTCACTCACTCACTCGCTCGCTCACTCGCTCACTCGCTCACTCGCTCACTCACTCGCTCACTTACTCACTCGCTCACTCACTCGTTGACTTGCCCGTTAACTCACTCGCTGGCGGGTGCATCGATTTGCTCTTTGACTCACTAACTCGCCTGCTCGCTCTGTCAACCCACTCACTCGCTCATTCACACAATCACGTATTCATTAATTTGTACAGGACAGCTCACTTATTTGGCCATTCGCTCACTTACCGTATCCACCTCACCCTAGCTCGACGAATTGGCCACACTCTCACCATCCTCCCAAGCACCGCCACAACTACCACCATCACTCATCCCATCCATCTTCACCACAACCACCACCAGTACCATCAGCACGCGTTCCAACCAAGTCGCCCTCATCCACCACCGCTGCCACCGCCTTCACCAAAAGGCAAAGATCCCCCTTGTAACCTTCAAGAGACTTTTGGGCAAAGTGCCGTTCGCGAGTAGCACCCACAAAGCGAAGGGCAAGACTGCACAAGAGCGGGTCGTGTAGCCAGCACAACACACCCGACCGCCTTTGTCTCCCCAGGTGCTGATGTTTACACACCACACCAGGTCCACATTTTAAGACTGCGTCAACCTCGGTGAGGCCTCAGTTTTGAGTCAAATATTCGCCACCGGTGTAGGCCACGAGCAGGAATCGAACTCGGACGAGAGGGTTCGCAGCAAAGTTGCGGCGCTAACCCACTGCGCCACCGCCTCTCCCCCACCACCATCACCATCATCAACAACAACTACCACCACCACCAACCAGAACTACCACCAACAACAACCACCACCGACCACAACTACCGCCACCAATCACCACGGCCATCAACCACCATTCAAAACCACCACCACCAACCACCACCCAACACCCACCACCACCACCCAACACCCACCACCACCACACCGTGAATAGAGCGAGCGAGCGAGTGTGCCCCTCCAACCACAACCGCCACCCGCCGGCCCACCAGCCCTCTTCTGCCCAGCGCCGCACGCCCACCGCGGCGACACAAAGCGCCAAATGATGCAAGCATGCGTTTTTAGTGAGGCCAAATGGCCGGTCTATTGAGTGGTGAGGGACATAATATCGTCCGCTCGGCGAGCAGATTAGTGGGCCTCGCTGAAAAGGAGTAAAGTGTTTCACGGCTAAATTGATGAGTGCGTTTCTCCTCCTCGGCGTTGCCGCCTTCCCGGTTTCCCCAGCTCTTTAAGTCGCTCCCCCCCCCCCCTTTTTTTTGTTACTATTATCGGTTTTTTTTCTTCTCTATTCTCTTCTCTCTTTCTTTCTTTCATTCATCTTTTTTAAAAGGCGGCCGGGCAGTCGGGGCGGGCGTGCTGGGCTGTGCTGGGTGGGCGGGGAGGGCCTTAGCAGTGGCGTGAGCCCAACAGATGGCTGGGGATTTTGGCCGATGCTCATTTTAACACGGGCAACCAAAGGTGGAGGCAAAGTATGTGTGTGTGTGTTTGTGTGTCTGTGTGCATGTCTGTGTGTGTGTCTGTGTGTGTGAGAGAGGAGCGGTGGTGTAGCAGTTAGCGCGCCGCGCTACAAACCCGGCGACCCGAGTTCGATTCCCGCTCACGGCCAACGCCAGTGACTATTATCTGAACAGGTCTTCGGCCTCCCCTAGGTTGACTCAGCCTAAAATGAGTACCCGGTGCGTAAACATCGCCACTGGGGAGACAAAGGCGGTCGGGCGTGGTGCTGGCCACCCACCCCCCTCGTGTGCGGTGCCGGTCTTCATAGGTGCACGCTAACAGCACTTTCCCCAACAGTTTCTTAAGCCTACACGGGAGATCTTTGTCTTGTGTGTGAGAGAGCCGTGGGGAAGGAGGTCTTGATGATTAGGACTATGGTTTATTCATGACCAGATACGACAGCTGAACTCGAAAAAGTTGGGGACGGAAAAAATGCCGTCGCTGGTCATGGGGGTGGGATTAAGAGGGCGGCCGTGGTGATGGCAGTGACGGTGGCGGTGGGTTGTGGTGGCGGTTGATTTGATGGTGTGATGGTGGTGATGTGGTTGATCACCACAAATGAGCGATAATGATGATAAATTACTGAGTTGTGGTATATTTGATGGTGTGATGGTGGTGATGTGGTTGATCACCACAAATGAGCGATGATGATGATGAATTACTGAGTTGTGGTTGATTTGATGGTGTGGTGGTGGTGATGTGGTTAAACACCACAAATGAGCGATGATGATGATAACTCACTGAGTTAAGGTTGACTTCATCATGATGATGATGGTGCTGAACACTACAACGAAGATAAGGAATCATGTGTGTTGGTTAGTTTGGTGATGATGGCGATGATCAAACAATCGATATTTAATTTTAGGAAAATGCGCGTGTGATA